TAAATGTCCTTCATAGATCATGGCGATAAAACCAGCACATCTGGGGCTGATTTATCTGATTTCCTTTAAACACTTGGATTAGGAGGAGATGAACTGCGCCTTGCAAAGCTCTACATCACTCCTAGGAAGAGAAGAAGGTTCAGATGAATTTTACTCTCGGTAGCCAGGTCGTTAGATCTCAGCTTATCCTTATGACTCCCTTTGTACTCATCAGAGCTCCGTCTCTCTAGTGGCAGTTGATCCTTAGGGTTAAGGCTGGGTTTAATGGTTAGGTTTAGTGTTTGGGTTAGCATTTAGGGTTAGCATAATGTGTTTGGGTTAGTATTAGGGTTAGGTTTATGGTTGAGGTTGCTGTTAGGAGTTAGGTTAATGTTAGGTTGAGGTTAGGGGTTAGTTTTTAAGTTAGGCTTATGCTTAGTGGTAAGGGTTAGGTTTAGGATAGCAGGGTTCGAGTCAGGGGGAGGGCTGGTTCAGGGTTGCAGCTTAGGGTTAGGGTTATGAGTGAAGTTTAGTGTTGCAGTTTAGGCTGTGGGATCATGGTTATGTGTTGGGTCTAGCTCAACAGGGTTAAGGTTAGGGTAAGGTTTGAAGGGTTAAGGTTAGGGTTAAGGTTCATGACAGCGTTAGGGTTGTAGTCAGGGTTAGGATATTTTTGGTTGGATTTTAAGTATTCTAAGGGTTAGGTTTAGCGTTGGGGTTAGCATGAGGGTCAGGGTATTCTTGGTTAGACCTCGAGGTCCAAGGTTAAGGTTAGGCTTACGTTTAAAGGAATAAGGGTAGGCTTAGGGTTAAGGTTGGTGATAGCGTTAGGGTATTTTTGGTTGGACCACAAAATAAGTTAACCGTAAGTTGCACGGTGACGTGTATGCTGTAATGCATCCTGCCTTTTCATAGTTGGATGATCCACCACAGGGTAACACCAAGTCCGGGCTTATCCAGGGGCTGTTTCTTGACTATTTGGCTTCAATCCCGGAGTTTTTGGGCAGTCGAACAGGATGTAGTATTTCTGGCAGTCGGGTTTTTGGATTTGACACGTTCTAGCTTAATATTTGCCTCAGTTTTTAGTATTGACTCTTAACGAAGATGGGTAAAAAAGGAATGACCCCACAGAGCGAATACAGCTTTTATTGTATGGGGCACCACTACGCTTGGAGATGCCCTAGGACTAAATTCCTTGTGTTCTCAAAGCATTAAAGCTGCTGTAAGGCTTGGACTCAGGCCTGACTTTTTTAAAGAGAGAATGAACATTACTCTAAAGTAATTTCAAAAATTTGTGAAGATCAAGCCAGGACGCCGTTGGCCAGCACACTGCCGGCTCATGTTCAGCCGGCTGTCGACCAGCACCCCAGGTCCTTTTCCACCGGGCAGCTCTCGAACCTGGAGCCTTGTATGGGGTTGTTGTGATCGAAGTGCAGGACCCGGCGCTTGGCCTTCTTGAAGCTAATAAAGGTGGCCTGTTCTGCTAAACATGTTCAGGCAAGGCTTGGTTCAGTTGCCTGCACAGAGGTGACCATTGCCTCCAAGTTACCCTACTGTAGCTGAAGGCCCCATATAGGACTTGTAACTGGGACCCGGGACCTACAGGAGGCTTTCTGGAGCAAGAAGTGTTTGACAAACAGGGGGGATGAAGACATCTTAGTTGAGCCTACTGATTTCTCTGACTTAGTTGAGACAAGTAATTTCTCTGCCTTGATGACAAAGGGACATCCGAGCAATTGCGCACGTGATGTCCAACGTCGGAGGTGACCACTCTCATCCATTCCTTCACCTACAGTGAAGCCACGTGTGCTTTACCCTGCAGGGAATGAACAATGAGCGGGTCTAGATGATGTGGAGTCTACTTGAAGGTGCTCTTGTAAGAGCTTGTGATGTCAGCATGTGACTCATTGTATGCAAAGAGTGAATATGGACAGAATACAAGCAGGGAGGTCTTGAGGGGAATCTTAAGAGCTGTTCTTGACCCAATAATGCAGCTTGCATTGCTGTGTGGTCATCCACTGTGGGAAGTGAACTTCAGTGGAGGTAACGTGGACTTACTGTGCACCTGAGGAAAGTATTTTGGCATTTACTGAACTATTCCAGTGTCTGGTTCTGCTTGTTGGCAATTAAGAACCATCCTCCGGTGTCTGGTTGCAGCTTGTTCCCCAAGTAACAGGTGGGAATTTGTGCTGCGGGGTTGAGACACGCAGCTATGGACTTGAGGGGAGAAAGCTCTGATTTCACAGAATCATCGAATCATTTAATATTTTGTGTTCGACAGGGCATCTAAAGGTCGTCTAGTTCAACCGCCCTGCCATGAGCAGCGCCCCCTTCAACTATGTAAGGTTCCTCAGAGCCCCGTCCAACCTGACCTGGGATGTTTCCAGGGATGGGGCATCTACCACCTCTCTGGGCAACCTGGGCCAGGGGTTCACCATCCTCATTGTCAAAAATGTCTTCCTTAGATCTTGTCTCAATCTGCCTTCTTTTTGTTTAAAACTGTTACACCCTTGTCCTATCGCTACAGACCCTGCTAAAAAGTCTGTCCCCATCTTTCTCGGAGATCCGCTTCAGGTACTGTCAGGCTGTAGAAAGTTCTCCCCAGAGCCTTCTCTCCTCCAGGTGGAACAACCCCAACTCCCTCAGCCTGTCCTCACAGCAGAGCTGTTCCATGATCCCTCTGATAATTTTTGTGGCCTCCTCTGGCCCCGCTCCAGCAGGTCCATGTCTTTCCTGTGTTGAGGGCTCCAGCGCTGGAAATAGCCCCGCAGGTGGAGTCTCACCAGCGTGGACCCGAGGGGCAGCACCACGTCCCTCAACTAGCTGGCCGCGCTCTTTTGGATGCAGCCCGGGATACGGTTGTCCTTCCGGGCTGCGAGTGCACATTGACGGTAAAATGATAGCGAGTGACTTCACTGTGACGTTGGTCTGCTCTCTCAGGTCCCTGGGATGCCTCCCCTCTTGTCCCATAGGCAGGTAAGGATTGTATTTTTTTCAAGTGACCCCTAACTTGATCCATATCATCACTGGTTGCTCTCCTTCCTCCAAAGTCCTGCCTGCAGTCACAGAAGTCTAGGACACCTCAGCGGTGAAGACCGAGGACAACATGATGTTCAGCCATGGCAACACAGTATCTTTGGTTTTTCTTTATCTGTTCCTGAAGTAGTGACAGCCGTTACGGTTCAGGAACTTGGCACCGGAGGGCTCACTATATGCAAAACTCTCTAACAAGACAAGTCTATGGGCACAATTTCCCCTAACCCTTCAATTCTTACGTGGTTAATCAGAGAGGTTTCGGGAACGTTTTGAAAGCGAAAAGATTTCAAAGTACAGAGACCATAAAATGCATGCTTTTTTGAATAACGAATTCTGTATGAATACCAACGTATTTGGGTTAAGGGAATGTCTTCCAGTAGTCTGCACCATCTAGACCCATGCAGAAGGGGGCATTTCCCATCTCCTAGGCTTAGCTCATCTAAGAAATCATCCCCAGATCTTCTGGACTGTGGCACGGTGTTGACTTGCCTGGCCAGTGAATGCCAATGCATTTACAGTCCCCCATGGGAACCTGCTCATTAACCTGGAGACTTCTTCGCGTTGCTGACAGAAGACTTCTTCTACATGGTCTCCCTGATGAAGTAGATTATCATTGCCTAAGACAATGTCACCCGTACAGACTTCTTTCATCCTAGCTCACAGAAGCTCACTCAACCTTTGCCCATCTCATAGCAGAGCTTCACGTACCTGAGCTGATCCTTCACACAGAGGAATCCTTCTGTCATACCTCCCACAGAGCTCCTCTTGGAGCTTCACTTGCATTTTGAAACAAACCATTGCTGTGCTTGGAAGATGCTCTCCTCGAAGACAAGATGTACCCAGGCGAACTGTGAAAATTATTTGTCTTTTCATTGATTGCATCATCAAGGGAGCGAGTAAAGAGCCCAGTGTGGCCTGCTTCATGTCCGTGCAATGTCTGCAGCTGTTGGCTAGAGGAGGGACAGCCCTTGCCTCTGTGGTGGCATCTAATGACTGATGCCCCTGATTGGTTGTATCAGTCAACAGCACAGAGGCACCAATCGCAGTCTCTGTTACGCTGGCTGAGGTGTCTGTGACGCACCCACCCTGAACGGGAATGGCTTTCCTGTAGGTCCTGTGTTGTCCGTGCCAGCCCTGCCATCTCATGCAGCCCTGTGGGCCTGCATCTAAACATGAAACAGAAATACGTGCCCTGAATTCTGTCGGGCAACGTGGGGATGAACTTGGGACAAATGCCATTGCAGTCAGCGGAGACATAGTAAATTCGCCCGACGGAGAAGAGCGAGACGCAACCGTCCCGAAGGGACGTGACTGCAGCCTTTCATCGTTCGGAGTTCCCACAAAAACAGGCAGCCGGCCGGGCCTTGGGCCGCCGCGTGCTGGAGTCGCTCACCGGTAAACTGTGACCTGCTGGACGATCCGACCGTCCCGGTGGCAGAGCTACGAGAGGAACAGAAGGGTTAAGGATTATCGCTTGGCTGGGGCTCTGAGCAACATGATCTAGTTGCAATGACCCAGCTCATTGCCAGGGAGGTTGGACTAGACGACCTTTAAATGTCCTTTCCAACACAAACATTCTATGATTCTGTCTTTCCATGACCTTCATAACTTCTTGTGCAAGGGCTTGTGCAAGGCGCGGGGTGGAATGTTAGGATCACCCTGCACGGCTCGGCCTTGAGAAGAAGAAGCTGTGGCAAAAAACTAAGAAGAAGCGAGGAAAAAAGGAAAACCTGTAAGCAGTGAATCCTGACTTTGTGAGGGGCGCGTGGACAGCGCGTGATATCGCAATAATGGGTGTAACAAGTTGTAATCAATCATGAGTGTGTGCGCAGTGACTAAGCGAAAATTATGATATATATTGGAGTCAGATAAGACAATAAACGGCTTGCGAATATAACTCTCATAGAGTTGTGAAGTCCATCCTTCTCCCGCAATTAGTGATGCATTTCCCTCCTTGGACAGGCTCCCATGCCCAGGAGAAGCAAATGTCCAACGGCAGCTCCATCACCCACTTCCTCCTCCTGGCACTCGCAGACAGGCGGGAGCTGCAGCTCTTGCACTTCGGGCTCTTCCTGGGCATCTACCTGGCTGCCCTCCTGGGCAACGGCCTCGTCATCACCGCCATAGCCTGCGACCACCGCCTCCACACCCCCATGTACTTCTTCCTCCTCAGCCTCTCCCTCCTCGACCTGGGCTCCATCTCCACCACTGTCCCCAAAGCCATGGCCAGTTCCCTCTGGGACACCAGGGACATCTCCTACTCGGGGTGTGCTGCACAGCTCTTTCTGTTTGTTGTTTTCAGTTCAGCAGAGTGTTGTCTTCTCACTGTCATGGCCTACGGCCGCTACGTTGCCATCTGCAAGCCCCTGCACTATGGGACCCTCCTGGGCAGCAAGAGCTTGTGCCCACGTGGCAGCAGCTGCCTGGGGCGGTGGGTTTCTCACTGCTGTGGGGCACACGGCCAGTACGTTTTCAATCCCCCTCTGCCAAGGCAATGCCCTGGGCCAGTTCTTCTGTGAAGTCCCCCAGATCCTCAAGCTCTCCTGCTCAGACTCAGACTACCTCAGGGAAGTTAGGCTTCTGGTGGTTGGTGCCCGTTTATCATCTGGGTGTTTTGTTTTCATCGAGGTGTCCTAAGTGCAGATCTTCAGGGCGGTGCTGAAGGTCTCCTCTGAGCAGGGACGGCACAAAGCCTTTTCCACGTGCCTCCCTCACCTGGCCGTGGTCTCCCTGTTTATCTGTACTGGCATGTTTGCCTACCTGAAGCCCCCCTCCATGTCTTCACCTGCTCTGGACCTGGTGGTGGTGGCTCTGTACTCCGTGGTGCCTCCAGCACTGAACCTCCTCCTTTACAGCATGAGAAACCAGGAGCTCAAGGATGCCCTCAGGAAACTGGCCCAATGACGCTGTTTCACTGAAAAGAACCTGTCTCCTGTCCTCTCCACATTTCCCAGAGTTGCTCTTAGGTCAGGAGTCTGCTTTTGTCCCTTGTGATAATCCTACTTATGGATATGTTTCCGGGCTTATGCTCCTTGGATTGAGGTGTGATCCAGTTGTGTCTGACCCTCGCACAACACTGTGTCCAACAGCAGCTCTCCAGTCAAAGGGAATCTCCCAGGTGCAGTGCCTGAAGGCTGGGCTCTTCCTCCAGAGGTGCTGCCAATAAAATGTCTAAGGAACTATTTTTTTTAATAAAAGTCTGTTCTCCTTGTGATGCGGGTTAAGCTCACGGTACCCCTGGGTCCCATGGCAGCAAAAGTCCTGTTTTTAAAGCTCTCTTCTTGGTGCCCCGTGGCAGTGGAGATGGTGCCTGGGCTCCCAGTGCCCTCCTCAGGCTGCTCCCCGTATGCCCCGACTGACGGCATACACGAGTCTCTCTGAAAAATGCATTTGGAGGGGGTCGGAAGAGGATGGCCACTCCCATTACAACAGTTATCCTGCTATAGATCATAGTGTACCATTTAAAAATATGAAGCAAACTCTTTTTTTGGTTTATGTATTTCACAAGAAAAAATATACCTTAATCAACTGGGCCAGAGAAAGAGGTGCACATGAGTCCTTACTCTGTCCACAAAAAATCAAACACATCTTCACGTTTTACAATCAAAACCCAGCAATAGTTAACCTCTAGTGTCGTCGGAAAGGCTGCACTATATCCTCTGAGCGTCACTGAAAGAGGCATTTCCAACCTAGTGTCATTTGCCTGTGTTCAGAACAAATCCGAACCCCTGACAGCTTAGGAGTGCCTATGTGGTTAATGCGAAGAAACTAAAATAACCAAAGGTGCTTGAGAGTACGTATTGCTCCAGAATGTCTTAGGGAGGGACCCTTGACAAATGCTCACAGCTGCTTAAAAGTCCAAGTGGTAAGGAAGCTGTCAACTGTCCGCTAAATAGATTTTAAAACAATGTTTCTTGGAGAAGGAAGCATCACTACAGGAAACTTATTCTCAGAGTAGTTTGTAAATCAATCAGTTAGTGTCTCATCATTTTGAGATGCACACGGCTGTGCTTTTCTGAACACAGTCTAGTTGCCTGTCAAAATCAAGCACGGGCACATCAGCCCTGAAACAGAAACCCTGCCTCTCCTCTCCATAAGTTTAAAAATGCCAGGCTCACCACACCAAAAAAAAACCAAACGAAAACACAACTCCAAAGCATCAGCTATAAAAGTTATCCACCACTTTGTCAAGAAAACAAAGAAACACCTCAAATTATTGAAATTAAGGTGTTTATCATGACACAATAGCCGACAAAAACTGAAAAGACAGACTTCTTGTCGCGTATTAGAACACAGGCCATACTATCCAAACTAGCTTGGGAAGTCAGAAAATTTAATATTACTCTCCTTGCTAGCAGACCAAACTCAAGTCTTAATGATGATGAAAACATGGATTCAGAGCACAATCCAGAGATTAGGACGATATTTCTAAGAAGGAGCCAGAGGAAGAGA